CGTACCATCTGAATGTTAGCTGTGTCATTATCCCATTTCTGAAATTTGCTTCTTATGAAAGCTGGCATGTATCAAACCATCCTGAAGCTCACTGTGACAATGTCCCATATTTTTTCTCAGCCTATGCTTAAATACACCAGAGATCAAGTTCACCTACAAGCCTATACGGAGTAAGTTCACGTCTTCTTTGGCTACATTTTAATTCATGTTTATTGAATTCTTGTATACAGTTTTCATTTCTTATATTAAGATGAAAAGTGAGGTGCCTGATTTATATTATTTTTTAAGCAAGAAATACAGGTTAGAACTCAAGGCTACTGAAATATGCAACTTATCACCTACTCTCTCCATCCCTAAATAGCTGTCGTTTTCGCTTCCTGAGAAACAACTTTGACTAAATATATATATAAAAAAATAATATTTATGGTTCAAAATTAATACCATTAGATAGATTGTTGAATCTATTTTCATAATAAATTTATTTGGAGATACAAATGTTGCACGTATTTTCTACAAATCCAGTCAAACTTACGGCACGGAAACCAAAAGCGACACTTATTTTGGGACGGAGGGAGTACTTGCACTTGCATCTCATAACTGCTTAAATATTTCGACTTTAGGTTTCATTGTGTAAATGAAGCATCATCTTTACAAATTAGCATGTCACCAAAATAGCTTGCTGAACAAGAGAGAAATCTGAGCCCCAAAAAGTTTTGGAATGCATTATTCGAAGTGTTTACTGCCACATGTCATGGCCACATAGGGTATTTGTTCCACTTAGTTCAGTTACTATTAGAAGCAAACTTAAGCTTTCTGGTTAATTTCACGATTAGTTTACATCAACTATGATTTTATATTATTCTTTGTGTGCCAATCATGAACCTTTAGTTTTATATTCTGCATTTGTGCTAATCATGCTGGCTATACATTTAATTCTAATTTTCCGGACAATTGAAGTGGATGATTTCATTAGTGCACACAACATTTATCTTTCTTGTACATTTAGTAATGTTTCCTTATGTTAATTTCCAAATTAATCATCCCAATTATTTTCCATTTACATTCTTTTGCTGGATGCTTAATAGTTTTAAGGATGGACCTTACAGTGGAGGGAATTGTTTGACAGCCAAAGGAACTCTTCGGCAGAACATTGTTTTCTCAGAACGGCTTTTTAATGGAGGACTTGCCATGGAAGATGGACCTGTTCATCTATTTTATTCGGTTAGAAAAAAAATGTATTACATTTATTGTGTTATCTTAACTGGTTTCTTACTGATCATCTAATTCCTTGGAAATATAAAACTGAATCACATGAACTATATTGATTGTTTATTGTTACCAACATTGACAAAATCCCCTGAATGTGAATGGAGAAATGCGTTCACAGTGGTACTGCACTACTGCATGGGCACCCTTAGTCCCTTTACCGTTGTGTTCTATTTCTCAATGGATCCTTGTCTTTCCAGCCTCATGATTTTGCATCTTTTGGTGGTTTGTTTCAGGTAAGAGCCAATGCAAACTCTGCTCTAGGGTTGTCCCTGGATCTGTCTTCTCGAAACAAGCAGGGTACATCAATTCTTGTTGCAGAGGACATAGCAACATTCACCAGAAAGACACAAAATCACAAGTATGGATCATATGTTAAAGCCGATAAGGTGGAGCTACATGCTCCAGGTGACCAAGATTGGGTCCTTGTGCAACGACATTCTCCAGATAACCAAGACTGGGTCCTTTACAAAGCAACTGTTTGGTCTAGTGCTGGCTACACGTTAACTGGTATCAACATTGTCTGCACACTGAAATTTACTGGCCAAATCAGTCCAGAAACAGAAGATGGTAGCATCTTGGAAGAAGATGTCGATGGATCATCACTGTATCAAGCATCACTAGGCCACATCAGTATTCGAAATACTGACAAAAACACAGAGTTCCCTCCAGCAGAATCTTGGGTAACTGAAGGGGATTACATCTCATGGTCAAAAATTTCTTACGGATCTGAACTTGTGAGTCTGAAAATCAGCTGGAAGCTGAAGACCCCTGATCAACGACAACCACCATTCAGCAAGTACAATATCTATGTGGAGAAGTTGACGGCAGGTTCAGACATGAAAGCTCCCAGAAGCTATCTTGGAGTTGCTAGTGTCGATGCCTTCTACGTATCGGGCTTAGAGGTCTCCAACGAAATCACTGGTCTGAAATTCTTCATTCAAGCGTTTGCACACGATGGAAGCTGGCAAGAACTTGAGGAATGTCCAAATTTCTTTTTATCCCCTGGCCATTCTGAGTGACATTCTTTTAACTCTGGTGCGCTTGATTCAGTTGTTCTTTCACACATGTAAAAGACCCCCACAGAATAATCTATGTTATCCTTATACAGAATAAGAAGGAAAAAACGAATAATAATACTTGTTTCTTCAGCATTTTTTGCTCATATGTTGTTTATGTACACCCATTGACGCCCTGTTTGTTTTTCCATGACTAAAATTTAGCTACTAAAACCAATGACTAAACTTTAGTCACCCATATTTGGTTCTAGTGAATAAAATTAAAAAGGCCATTAAAACAGTTCAACAAAGACTAAACTATCCCTAATGAATACACAAATCAGGGTGAGGGACCAGCAATAATGAGGGGTAGCTCCTGTCTACTGAGCACTTTAGCCCACTTTAGCACCTCCTTGGGATACTAATGTGACTAAACAGCTAAACTTTAGCAGGAGGAAACCAAACAAACCCTAAATTTGTTTCTTTCATCTGAATACAAGAACTCTGCAAATTTGATGGTCCTAAATGGAGAGGTCTCTTGCCGACGCATACAACCGCAGATTCTTCCGAATGAAAGAATTTGTTGGCGTTATGGGGACACCAAAGGTATTTAGCACTGTGTTTCCGCGTGTGATCTCCCCAGCAAGCAAATGGAACTTTTGACTTGACTTCATAGTTCGCTTGGCTGATAAGCCATGATTGAAAGTATTGTTGGCTGATTTATTATGAGAGAAAAATACTGTTCGTCGACGGAAAAAATACGACTTATAAGCCAAGCGGGCAGGACGATAGTGTTTAACCATCTGATATTCCACCAAATTCAGAGAACTTGTTGATTGGTCAGGCAGGTCGGCTGGCTCTTTCTAGTCACAGCGACTCTAGCCGCCATCTGATATTCCACGAAATTAGTACAACGTTTGCATTTTGGTCTCTTCTGTATTTTGTAGATTTATTTAGAGTTAAATATATTGTCGGCCCTTTAACTTGTGCGCATGTGTCACTTAGGTCCATGAACTTCCAAAATCGAAATATGCCTCCCTAAACTTGTTTAGTCATGCACTGGAGGTCCATACCCCCTCAGCGGACGTTGACTGGGATAATTTTTTACTACCTCCAGCACTCCTCCACCCACACCGACGTCCACGCGTTGCTCCAAGACTGGCCCGCTGTGCCGCCGCCGCACCCACATACCAGCCCGTCGTATGGCTTGGCGCGACAAGGGTGGTGCTCAGCGAGGTCATGGCCATGTGGATCGCGGTGCCGTGGTCGTCGGTGAAAGATGGAGATGCCGTGGTGGTCCAGGCAGTGGGGCCTGGCAGAACGACACGGCAAGGATGGCCTATCGGCGGTGTGGATTCCTTGCTCGGATGAGGACCTCGGCCACGAGTGCTTCGTTGACGTCGTCAGGGGCTGCATCCTGTAGCTGCTAGCCTTCGCGGACACGGGCATCAAGAAACTGTACCGCACGCTCGGCATGTACAAGGTGCGGGTGCTCTCCGACATGCAGTCGGGGCTGGAGGCGCTCTTCTCCGACGACGTCGTGCGCCACCGAGAGGTCTCGAGCACCGTCCAACAGCTGGGCTCCACCGTGGGCCACACGATTGAGGAGTTCAGCCCGTCCATGGCAAAGCGTTGCGGAAGCCCGTCCACGGCGGCGAGATCCACCCCATGACCCACGTCCTCAACTACTGCGGCCTCCTCGCCGTCCGAGCGCTGCATCTACGGGCTGCTCACGTTGCTGTTGTGCAACATCGACGACAAGTCCTCGGCGGCGGCCACCTCGTCAACCAGCTCTGGGCCTCTGGCACAACGGCCGCTGAGCAGGACGGGTTCGGGCACCGCGGGTCATCATCCACCACCATCCACCACGCTTACGAGGCTCATGAAGATGGCTGATGAAGGCGACCATGGAGCAGAGGAGGTTGCGGCGGCGAACGACGGTCCCTCGCGGACGAGCAAGCCATAGTTGGCCACAAGCTCCGCTGCTTTAACATGGAGAAGGCCAGCTCACCCGCGGCTGCACCACAAGCAAGCTCCCTAACGCTCGCCTTGCGCACTCGAGCCACCGCTGCTCGGCCGCTCTGCGTGCAGCCGCCGCATGTGCCTTGCCACACATGCGCCGCGCCCCCCGATGTAGAGGCGGCCAACCCATCACCGTTACCTCTGGCCCCCGAACACCCACGCCCCTGGACATCCTACTCCTCCCTGCTGACGCCAAGACGCTGGCCGTCCGCGCGCTCGATGGCGGCCACGGGCGGCGCCAGGAGGTCCTGGGCACGTGATGTTGGCTTGCCACCGCTGCCTGGGCGTGCGCTGGCGGGCGGGGACGCCGGGAAGTGGGCCAGGGTGTGGGGCAGCGAATCGGCGATGGGGAGGCGTGCTCGGGCGGAGGTGGAGGCCGACTCGGGCGACGCCGGCACCGTGGGCCGAGGAAAGGAGTGCTAGGGATAGAAGATGACTAGATAGATATAGATATGGTGGTTTTTGTAAAATTTTAACCTAGTCATCGTCCTCTGAGGGGTTATGGACTTAAGTGGCACACTTTGACAAGTTTAGGGAAGCAGATTTCGATTTTGAGAGTTCGTGGACCTAAGTGGTAAAGAGCCATAAGTTTAAAGGTCGCTAGTGTATTTAACTCATTTATTTATTATTTATACACACCACGACAGTGCCGGTCCAGTTCAACAATCTGCGTGAGCCGCCGCTGCACCTCCATCAAACTACGCCGCCCTGTTTCTACTGCCACCCAGGCCGGGCGACATGGAGCCGACGGCCGTCCCCGTCAGCGAGTCCAGTGACGGTGCTTCCGCTAGAAGCGGCGAGGCCAGCGTCATGGCGGCGCCGGAGCTGGTGGACGACCTCGTCGGCGAGATCCTCCTCCGCCTCCCGGCAGGACAGCCGGCGTGCCTCGTCCGCGCATCCCTCGTGTGCAAGTCCTGGCGCCACGGCATCTCCGATCCCGCCTTCCGCCGCCGCTACCGCGCGTTCCACCGGGCAAGATTGAGAATTGTGTGTCCTAGAGTGGCACTTGATAATCTCGTTGGCGAATTTGTCTGATCCTGGCTTTATGTGTGCTGCTCGTTTTTCAAGTTTGCTTTGCCTTGTGGTGCAGCTCAAGGTAGCATACAGTTCTTTTACCCTTTGCGGCGCACCAAAGGTTAAATCAACTTTTGAGGGTTTAGGGTTCAGCTTGTGAGATGTTCCTTTGGATTGTTGCTCGAATGTTGGTGATAGCTTGTCTTGATCTCGACGTCTGAATTCGAAACGTTTGCTTGCACATCGACATTGAAACGTTCTGTCCAAATTGGCTAGCTAGAGCTCAACAGCTTGTGACCTAGCTCATCTTTGCATTGATGCTTATAAGTTGATTTAACTGAAAAGGTACCCGATATCTCCCATTCCCATCTTGCTCTGTCTGAAATATTATTTACATTGCATCTGAACAGAATGTCATGTAGTCTTCTCAACTGATTTTGCATGCCCTCGTTTGACCATCTTCTGAAGGTAATACGCCAATTTCTCTTTTTTCATTTCAGCAACTGAGCAATCCTGTAGCAAAGTTTAAAGCCAAAACGTCTCAAAATTTCGAATGGAGGGAGCAGAAACTACTGCATATTTTCTAAGTATTGGAGCAAACAAGAAAGTCCAATAATCAAGCAAACTATGCATTAAACTGGAGTTGGCTGATTAACTACAACCACCTTTCGATACTATTCCCTTCCAATCTTGGTAATGCAATATGCAAAAAGTACAAGTGAATAAATCCTGAAAAAAGCATGGGCTCAGCAAATAAGTTCTAACAGTTATCCAAGTGATTTCAAGACCATAAGAAAACGAACCAAACTATAGGAATAAAATGTCACGTATGAAATCAGGATTCTAATAACTTCATAGTATACTGCATTTTTTCTGAGCAGCAGAACTTCCACAAACTGTACAGTTACACCAGCTATCAATCTACTCCCTTTAGAGACTACAGAAACCGGAAGCTACACCAGCCAAGGGACTCACCTAAAGCAAATGCAGAAAATGGCAGCCTCCTTGCTCCATCATCCAGGAGAACCTTGTCTGCCTAACGATAAAGCAATTAACAGTAGATCATTAAGTGACAACTGATTAAACAAACACTTATCTAAAATTGCATACTGCCATATGAAAGCTAAGCATGCATTGTTTCGTCCTTGACAAGTGTACCTTAGCTACTTCAGCCATTACTTCTCATAAAACCCTTCAGTATTTAATATCCTTTTATACTTTTAAAAAAAAGGATTGTGCACACATTCTTTATAATATAACCAAGTAAAAACTGGATTGTGCACACGTAAGCTTCGAGTATAACCAAACAGTGTTATCAAACAAATAGGATGTGTTGGAAGTAAAAAATGAAGTACTTCTCCCCCACAATAACCAAATGAAAAGATCCAATCTAGCTCCAACTGTATTGTGAGTAATAAGTTCACTGCTCAGCATTACATCATTGTAGACAGACCAGAGGCTCATAGTTTCCCACAAAACTACCATCCCTGTACTGGGCTTTTGCCAAAGGCCATTCAACAATTTGTTCACACTGATGCTATCTTTCGATAGTATGAGCATGACTTTTGCACTGATGGCAACCAACTTGGTTCTCACAGCCAGAGCTATGGTCCACTTGGTCGTCTAGATAGACTATCTAGTGATCAGATAACGACACACTAATAGCAACATGTAACTATTACTTCTATTCAAGATAGTCTTCAGTCTATTCATAACACATGCGGACATTTTTTTGAAACAAACAAACATGCAAACTTCTTTATTGGAACTGAACCTTAACCCCAGTTTCAGTTCCAAGGATATTTACAAAACTGTTGAAGCTACTGCTTGGGCAACCTTGGTCAGGTCAAACGGAAACTGAAATCTACATAGTTATTTTCAGGAAAGCAAGGAACATATCCCATATGGCCATATAGCATTATTCCCAAGAGATCCTGCCAAACAAAAACTAACAATAACTTCAATGAGACGAAAGATAAATCTCAAGCATAGTTCATTAACAATCTGTTCAACACTTTTTTTGGTTCAGACAGGAACAAACATGCTGACAAAATCCGTAGAACAGAGAGACAGAGTGAATTCATAGTCTGTTCAATGTGGCTGTGTTAAGCATGATTACAAAGATTTTCAGATGTGGCCACAAAGAAGAATTCAGACAAGCGGTAATTTGACCCAGATGAGTAACACTATTCTTACTGCGTGCTCAGCTGAAAACATAAATTATATTTGAACCAGAGATCTGACTTTGTTGGGTCTATGTCTATCTCATGTTTGAGCTTCATATTACTTTTAGACCTCACCATCCGTCCATAACATGTATGGCAGATGAATAAATCTCTAAGCATATCTAGCCAGTTCCAAGGACTCCATAAAAAGAAAGTTTAGAGAGGATTCACAAACTTCTGAATATATTTCGATTTCATAAGCTAATTAATTTTAGCATATATAACATTGCTCATGCCTTATTGTTAGTAATAAATATCCAAGTTCTAGAAGTTGGCAAATAGAAGGCTTGGCTAGAAGCTCATGTAGGGAAAAGCGCTGCAAATGCCCCTCTCATGGCCCCAATTGTTGCGGCATTTTGGGGCTCCCATGCACAGACACCCCTCTGGCCACCTGTTCGGGCCTTCAACAACAACAGAAGAGCCCGGTGAAACAGCACACACACGAATGTTACATATCATTATACATCAAACTTAGTTTTGGAATTTTATTAGAAAATTTCAATTAGTCACATTTATGTACTAAGAAGAAACCTAAAATTGCACAGGTCAAAAGAGATTACAGTAACAATGCCTTTTAGTCCCAAGAAGGTTAGGGAAAACCAAGGAATGCACTACATTTTCAGATTCTCATACTACGTTTCAGCTACATGTTGGTCCATACATTCTGTGTCTAAAATACTTATGCATACTCCAACAGCAGCAATATTTTTTTTACTCCTGTCTATTTGAAGATATACCAGATTAAGAGGTTAACAGTGAAAATATATATCAATATTTTGGTCAAATAATTTTGGAATGATAACACATTGGCATCGCTAGGGGAAAAAATATTTTCCAGTTACAGACACTAAAGCAAAATTGACAAAAAAAAATTAGGCTGTGACCTTTGTCTTCATCAACTTCTAAAAATAATCTAATCATTCATGCAAACATGGTACAAATGTCAAACTTTCAAGAGATGCCCAAATACAAGATAAATGGATCAAGCAATGAATTGGGTTGGCAAGGCAAGCATCAAGATTTTGTGATATTATTAGAACTACTAGAAAGGTAAACATATCGCCAACCAGGGCGCAGGTTGCACAAGACCAATTACTTCTCTGTATGAAACAGAGTGGAAGGAACAATAATAATTTCCTATTTTAGATGTGTATGCATGACCAGTGATCACCAAATTACCTGGGGGCACAGGGGCAGCCTTCTGCAGATGCTTAGTGAATTCGGTAGGAAAGAAAGCCAAGCTGCAGAAGATGTTGCTAGGGGCCGTTTCAGCGTCCTCATCAGAAGGGGTGGCTTGGATATCTTTATACCATAAAACCTTGCTGCTATCTACGTCAAGGGCAACCACCCATGCCGAAACCGTGTGCCTCTCCTTGAGCACAAAATAGATGGTGTTGGGATCATCCATGCTCACCAGAGGGAACTGCGGCACAACGCAGGGAAGTTGATCATCGTAACCCTCCATATCCCAGAGTTGAGCAGCTTGAATTGTGGTGTCCGTCACCCACCCCATATCGTCCTGGCCATGGTGCATCAGCGTGGAGACGGTGATAGTGAATCTGCAACCATGCTCACTCTCGCCAGATAGCATCCCATCGCTGCGTGCAATGTTGATAAACTTCATCATCGCTCCATTCTTGGTAACGCACACAGCCCGGGACGCCTGCGGCCATCCTCTGCTGAAATGGTCAGGATAGCCGACGGGAAACAGAGCCTGTTCGGCTGGAGTGCTGGCTGGGGCACTGTTCGCATGAACAGTGTTATCAGCTGGGACAGTATTTTCCTCTCGTACACCAGCCAACAGCCAACAGTACTCGAACATGTTTTCAGCTGGGACTCGAACAAGCCACTCCAGGTGATCCACCGGCAAGGAGAGGTACTGGAGGTCCGGGCTACTGTGGCCGACGTTGCAGAAGATGACACCCCTTGAGTAATCAACCCAGCACAGGTAACTGCGGTAAGGGACAACCATGGAAGCTTCCCACCAGCAGAGCAAGTCACTGAACTTAGCCTTGCCCCCACGGGCCCCTGCGTGCTTAACCTCCCACTCCCACTCTCCAGCAGCACCTGCAGCAATTTTCCCCCTGTCCGAGCAGAGCCTCAAGAGCTGCGCTTCCAGAGGTGCATCCACGTCTTCGAGCCTGTCCAGATCGAGATGGAGCTCCGCCACCACGAAATCTCCTGTATCACAATCCAGCAGCAGGCCGGTGCCTCTGCGGCCTAGTGTCATCCATGGGTTTCTCCGCCAGGAGCCCACCGGAGCTGCCTCTATCTCCTCCTCGGTCGAGTACCAGCGTGGGAGAAGTGAGATCCAGGGACCGGAAGGGCTGGCCCAGTAGATGAAGTGGTCGATCGCGGAGCACGATGAGGGGAGTCCCTCGAAGTCGACCTCGAGACGGAAGAGTACGGCGTTGCCGTGCGCCGCCACGACTCTGTTCCAGCCGGACGGCTTGCGGCCCTCCGGCCAGTGGACCCAGAGGCGGGAGGCACCCGGCAGCGGGCGCACGGTGAACGACACGCGGACGATCTCGCCGTTGCTGGCGCGAGCCTCCGCCGTGCTAGGGTCGTCGTCGTGGCGAAAGGAGGCGAGCGCCTTGCGGTCAATACCTTGGTCTACCACTACCCAGCTAGGGAGAATCGAGGAGACCTGCTGATCTAATGATCGGATCCCCATGGCGACTGGCGAGCATCGAACTGGTGGGCCGCCCGTGCGCAACTAGATCGACTAAGGTTCGTAATCTGGTAGCCGGCGGCGACGGCGAATCGGCGATGACCGATGACGAGGAAACAGCAGCGGACCGCGCAGGCCCTGAATCGATCAATCGTAGTTTGTACTACAAGGTTTTCCGAGTTCCGGCTTAAAAAAAAGAGAGGAAAACAATCCAATTTTAAATCGACCAATTGGTTGTCGAATCCATGTCGAATTCGACGCCTTCCATGATTGGTTTGGGATATCCTCGTCTGGTTGTCGAATTCCACCGCAGCGTCCTTGCCCGGAGCCTTCCATATTTGAGTTTGTAATATCCTCATGTGCAAGTACAAATACACGCCTTCCTCACCAGTCCCCAACGGCAATCCTCCCCATCGCTATTCTTTCCTTCGTTATTAAGAGCAACTCCAATCAATCCCTCAAATTTTACCCCCATATTCCTGCAAATGAGAGTCCATCATCCATATTTCATCCCCTACTCCTCATGATACTCCAACCGATCTCCTAATTTTTTTCTACTTTTTTACTGTATTGTCATAGACCCTGTTTATTGGTCCCACTTGTCAACTTTATGCAAGAGAGAAAGCAGGATGAGGGACTCCTACATCTGAGGGTTTAAGAGAGAGAAATGAGAGTCCTTCATCCCTCGGGCCTTGAATAGGGATTCGGTTGGAGAGGTTTTTGATATGTTTGAACTCTCAAAATAAGATGGGGCTTAATTAAGAGTTCGGTTGGAGTTGCTCTAAGAGCGCGAAAGGGAGGGCAGTACGGGACCAAGAAAACGGCCGCGGCGATGGTGTCGCCGCGCCAGACTGGAAAGACAAGCCAGGGGCGGAGGCGCAGGGAGCTGGTCCTCATCGAGGACCCCAAGAGCCGCATGGTGACCTTCTCCGAGTGCAAGTCGGGGTTTTTCAAGAAGGCCTCGGAGCTTTCCCTCCTCTGCGGCGCCGCCGTCGTCTTCTCCGCCACCGGCAAGCCGTCCGCAGTGGGCGCCCCCTCCGTCGAACGCTTCATCAGCCGCTTCGCTCCGCTCCCCAGCGACGGCGGCGATGACGACGACCGCGACCGCGAGGTGATGGAGGCCACGGCGCGGCGGGCGAAGGAGACCGGCGCGCGCGTGGCCTAGGAGAAGACGCGGATGGGCGCCGTCGGGGAGAAGGTGCTCCGGGTCACGGCGGCCGGCGGGGTTCGCTTCTGGTGGCAGGCGGACGCCGAGGCGCTCGGTGAGGAGGAGCTGCGGGAGTTCGCCAGGAAGCTTCGCCGGCTGTCGATGTTTCACCACCGATAGCCTGCCACGGGGGTACCCGGGGCAGTATGTTCGGGCTTCGGCGTATGCTGAACTCGATGGTAAACGCAAGAGACAGTCGATTTATCCTGGTTTAGGCCCTCGATCGTAGATCGAGTAACGACCCTACGTCCAGTCGGCGTTGGCCTTTGCGTTGGATTGATTATGAAGTGTTATGTTGTACAATTGTCCTCCTCTCTCAGGAGCCCTGCCCTCCTTTATATAGTCAGGAGGCCAGAGTCCTAGTCGGTTTACAATGAGATTTCCTAGTATGATTACTTAATAGTTCTATTACTAAGATTATATAGGAAGAATCCTAGTTGAACTAGATCTTCTCTCTCCCTTGTGGGGTATCCTGTGGGTCCCGCATCGACAAGCCCTCGAGCACTTCATGGTTGAGCTCTGAAAGTCTCGCTTTGCTCCTTCAAGTCTTGTTAGGTAGGAACAAAATGTTATCCGAGTGCTTTCTGGAGTGAAACCTTGTAGCGCTTCTTGGGACCTTCGAGTGGTTTGTGTTTTGTGAAGAAAAAGTACATCCATCTGGTTGTAGCCCCTGAGCCTCTTGCTATTTGGAACAAGGAGCTGGAGGATCTTGTCTTGAAGTTGCTCTGATTTTTCGTTGAAGTTTTGTCAAAAAGAACTCGAATATGGCTCGTTCCGGGTTCTTTTTGTCGTAATGTCTTAAAGTGGTCTGCGTTGAGGAAGTCTTTTGGTGACGTGTGCTTTTTCGAAGAAAAAGTGCACTCACTGAGTGTAGCCCCCGAGCCTCTTGCTATTTGGAACAAAAAGTTGGAGGGTCTTAATCCTTTATGTTGTTTGAAAATTTGTGTTCTGAAGTAGTCCCCGAGACTTGAATTATGTCATCATCCGAGTAGTTTTTGTGGCATCTTTCCGAAGCGGCCCTTTAGTCTTGGATTAAACCATCATCTGAGTAGTTTCGCGGCATGCAGCCTCCGAGCCTATGTCCGGGTTCTTTTTGGGTGAATTCTTGTATTCAAAAAATTCTGGGGCTATGTATCCCGTAGCCCCGTGCTTTCTCCGAGTTCTTCTCTTTAGAAAAGAAGTCGGATGAAGAGTCTTGATGTGTCGTCGTCGTTGTAGTCTTGAGTTTCTTGTATTCTTGGTCCTTTGTCTTTGGTTCCGAGCCTCCGGGAGTAGTTGAAATGAAGGTCGAGCTCCCTAGCTTAGTGTTGATTAAGCTATGATGCTGGCCGAGCCCCCGAGCATATATTCGTGTTGTTTCGTTTAGGAAGAACTCGGATGCGAGGTCTTGGCGTATTCTTTGATAGTCTGTTGTTGTCAGATGTAGTTGTATGGTGGTGGTTGAGTGTAAACGCCTTTTGTTCACGGGTTGTACTGTGCTGGTATATTCTTCCGAATATGCCCGCCTCTTAATCTTCGCTTCCTCTACTTTGAGTCATCCATTATTGAGTCCTGTCTTTTCACTTTGTGTCCTTTGTTAGGCTTATTTCGTTGGTACTCCTAGTCCATGTGCGCTCCCTTTAGTCTATAAATCTTGTCCCGAGTGCTTGTTTTCATCTATTGGATATTCTGTTGAAACTTTTGTGGTCATGAACATGGTAGTTTGTGAAGTAGAGCACCCCGGGCATATTTTGTAGTTCCCAATGTGTCTTGTCGTAGCTGGAGGAAGTCTTGTGATAGGGATTAGAGGTAGGCTAATCCTGCGACAGCATTGTGCCAGGATGTACGTGGTGGTAGTTGGAGGAAGTCTTGTGATGTGGGCTTCGCTTTCTTCATCTGGCGCCTCGGGTTGATCCTCGTCGCTTTGTCTTGAGACTCTCGTCCGCAGCGAGATCAACACCATATGCAGACATCACATCGGTCTTGGGTAGACAGATGCCCGCCGCCTTCTCTCGCTCCATGTTGTCTTGCCGTCTTTGCCGATTTCCGCCTTTGGGTGCCTTCAATCCGTCCTTTGAAGAAAACAGTGTAGCTGATGGCGGTTTGTCCTTCCGAGTAGCAATTTGGGACACGTAGTCATTCCAGAGCCTAGCCGTGTCCGCGTTCCTCTTTGCTACCTTACTTTTCGTGGTGTCGAGTTCGTTGGGTCTTGTAAGATTTGTAATCTTCTATTTTTGAAGTCGCTTGTAATGTAACGAATCTTGTCTTTAAGATTTGTAATCTTCTATTTTTGAAGTCGCTTGTAATGTAACGAATCTTGTCTTCTGAGTTGTCTTTTACTTTTCTGTTGTGATCCCTGTTGTTCATGAGATTACCGAGTTCTTTCTTAAATAACCGGGTTCTTTTGTTCCTTGTGAGGTAGCCCTTTCTTTCTTCTTTCTTTCTTCTTGGTTTGACGGGTTGTTCTTGTAGTGATCTGATAACCCTGCCGTGGTGCTGGACGGATAAGTCTGAAATCTGCCCGTTGGTTTGTACCGTTGTGTGGATTTGTGCCCTCCGTCGTTTTAGCTGCGTCGGTAAATGGACCGTTGCGTTCCCACACTGTGTTTTATCGGGCCTTGTGGGCCGTTTGTATCACTGAAAAATCTATTTAAAGACCCTTTATCTTCCTTTCCCTTGCTGCCCAGCTCTTGCCTTTAAACCCTAGCTTTCAGAAATCCGCCGCCGTCATCGTCGCCGTCACCCGAGCACCATCATCCTAGCTTCATCTTCCTTAGTGTCTTTTTTGCTTCCGCCAGTTCATGAGAAAGAAGAAAACCGCAAGCAAGTTTCAGGTGACCTTCGTAGACGAGGAGTCATCTCTTTCTTTGATAAAAAACCAGGAGTTCGTGGCTATGAGGGCTGCTCAGAAGGTTTGGCCGGCTCCAACAACAAGCGAAGACCAGCTGCGCGAGCTCATTAGCGATGGCTTGATCCAACGCAAAGTCATCGCTAAATGGAGAGTTTCGGGCGAGCATCGGGTTCCAGCTCCGGGTCCTGGTGAGATTGTCCTCTTCGTTTCCTTTGTCCGCGCCGGACTTTGCCTTCCTGCTTCCGCTTTCCTTCATCAGTTTCTTGGTTATTTCGGGGTTAGTCTGAACCACCTAACCCCCAATGCCGTTCTCCATCTTTCTGTTTTCGTTCATCTTTGCGAAGCTTTCCTTGGAATCCCTCCTTCTCTGTCTCTTTTTCGCTTTTTGTTTTTAAATTCGAAACCTCAACCCTGCCGTGAAGAAACCAGCGTTCTTGGCGGTTGCGGGATTCAGTTTCGCCAGGGTCTCAAAATTAACTTTTTTGACTATGACCTGGTCGATTCTGTAAAAGATTGGCGTGCCGAGTGGTTTTACGCTGCCAATTTGATCTCTTCCCTTGCCGTCCATCCCGGATCTGGTCCTGTGGTGAATGACCTATGGGACAAGAAGCTTGAATCGCCTGCTGAGATTCAAGTGATCCAGCCACTCCTTGATAGGATTAGCATGCTGAAACAGCAGGGTTTGACCGGCTTTGGTATTGTTTCGAGCTTTCTTCGTCGCCGGGTTCAGCCTTTGAAAGAGCGGGAGCATCTTGGCTTTGAGTATTCTGGGGCCGAGGATCCTTCACGCATGGTCCCAGCTCTTGAGCTGACCGGTGAGGAGGTACTCGAGTGTCTCCAGAAGATGCCGAAAGGAGTGAGCGTCATTCCTCCTGCTGTCTCTGAGTTCTCAACCAACAACCCGCCCCCAGCTGTGAGTTGTCTATCTTTTTGTTTGAGTACTTTATGCACTCTTGCCGCATCCGTTCTTGCTTAGCTTTTCTTTGTCTCGGTGTTTTATCCTTTTTCGCAGGAGCTTGGGCGAAACTTTGTCGACCTGGTCCCTCCTGACGTTCCCCCCGCCGTGGCGGAGACTGGGGATAGACTTGCTGGAACTTCTGCAATTAGTAAGTCCCAAACCTCTACCGCCCTTCCTGGGGTTTCTTCCGGATTTGTTGATGTATATGAAGAATATGTTCCTCATCTAGTCCCTCGCGGTCCTCGCAGTGTCCCGAAGAGGGGGCGAACGGATGGGTCTTCATCTAGCCTGCCTGTCTCCAAGAAGCCTCGCAAACCAAGTACTCCCTCAGGTACTCCAGTTGTTGCTAGCATGCTCTTAGGTGAGCACATTTAATACTCTTTGTTCCTTTATTTTCCTGTTTCTCTCTTGATCCGAGTACTTTTTATCCTCTTTTCAGCAGGTGCTCTGGTTTCCTTGGTCGCGGAAGAAGAAGATGATGAAGTACCCCTCATCATCTTGCGGTGAGTTGTTTTTCATATTCTGTTGCATTGAATTTCTCTTCTTTGTCTTGACTTTTAGTCTTGAACTTTTTGAAGTAATCGGAGGCCGGGTGTGAGTTCTTCCGAGGCTCCCGTGCTGACTTCTTCTGAAGCTCCGGTGTCGAGTTCTTTGGTAGCCCCAGTACCGAGCTCTACCGCTCCTCCAGTACGGAGTTCTTCCACGGCTCCAGCCCCGGCTCCTTCCGCGGCTCCGTTGTCGGCTATTCCGCTCCCGTCGTCGGGTGGCGGGGACGTTTTCACCGTCGTGGTTCCTCCTGCGAGGCCTTCTCTTGGCTTCACGAAGAAGAAAGTGGTTGGGTGAGTAGATTCTAGCTTTATCTTTTTGGCTTCTATCTTCCTTCCTCTGGTTCTTATCGGTGCTTCCTTTTATCACTTTTCAGTGTTTCGTCTTCTCTCATTTCTTCATCAACTTCTTCTCTGCCTCCCGCCGTGCCAACGAGTTCCGAGCCTCAGGATTCACAACATTCTGTTGATGAAGTTGCTGCGGGGGCTTCAGAGCTACCTGGCGAAGTTGCGGTCTTGGCCGCTCGGAGGTGATTGTGGCCGTCGCCACGGCCCTTCTTCGAGGGTTTGACTCCAGCTTCCACGAGGTTGCTTTGGTCGTTCCTTCTTCGCCCCATCCGGTCTC